CGCTGGCAGCACTGTGGGAGGGCGGAGGGACGGACGGACGGACACACAGACAGACAGACAGATAGATGCTGTTTTCTCAAGAGTTTTTATCAAACGCGCAGTTTTTCTGGGGTCCTTCACACCGCAGGAAAGTGCGGTCGCGGTTTGTCTGTCCGGGTTGTTTGCGGTTCCTGGTGTCTCATCTTTTTCCAGTTAGATCAGTTAGGCGTGATCTTTCTTTTCCTCTTTTGTCCTGCTTTCCCCGAGGCGAGCCCAGGACGCCTGTCGCCGATAGCGCTGCTTCTTTGACATGTCCCCAGGGGTGTGTCTCACTTTCAGCCTATCTGGGCGGCCGTGGGACTGCGCTTTTATCGCTGTTACCCTTCTGGACTCGCGAACCGGCAAACGGCACGTAACTCCAGCAGAGCTTAACAGCGTGTGCACAGTCAAACCCACACCAAATCGCACCATCCCTGTAGCCTCAGCCTCCTTTTCAGCAAGGTGGTTTTCCGGTTTTGTTTAATGTCTAACTGAATTCTGTGAAGTTTTTCACTTGTAATACTGTGAAAAATTTAATGTAGCAGCAGTAGTGGTAGCAGTACATATCTGGCTGATTTTCAGAAGTGGTAACAAGCCGTAGCTCCTGATGTTTAGTTGGAGTTATGCGCCTTCACAGTTTAAGGTGATCTGACCCTTTTTACTCTGCTTGTAAGCTTAATACTTTAAAATAGGAACGTGAAATATAATACTTCACAAAATTAAAATTATGTCTTGAAGGAGTTACAATTTCAACATGTTTTCCAGTCAAAGGCTTGAAGAAATATTTCTCAAATTTTTCTTTTCCCTGTGAGATGGGATGCGTACCAGGGGAGCAAGGGGCTAGGTTACAGAGCAGATGCTTTTCAGATACATTTTGAATGAGTTGGGATGGGACCGGGGACCTGTTCCATAGGTCAGAGAGATCGTAAGAAGGAGCAAAGGTGAAGTGAGGAATGGAGCTGAGGAGTGTAGGTTTGGACCCCAAAAGCAGGTTGTCACGAGGAGGTCAGGCAGAAAGCAGTCTCAGAGAGAGGAGGGCAATTACTCCAGTTGCTGCTAATGGGTAGAGGTAGCGTCTTGCTGCATTCCTGTTGTGAGCTAAAACTTACTTCAAAGTATGAAAAAAAGAAAGGTGAGTGGATATATGGATGTTGCTATTTTTGAACAATGTACGCATACATTTAACTTGCAGTGGGTGGGGAAGGAGTTCTTGGATCCTTATTATACTTTTCTTAACATTGAGGCAGTTGTTTGTTTCCCCCTCACCTTGAACTGCACCACTCCAACAATTAGTCTGGGAGCCCTTTTTCCTGCACCAGCTGTGCTGCCACTGACACCAGTGCTAATAACAGCCCACCAAGTGGGAAGGAACAAATAGGATGGTCTCAGTTGAACCGGTGCATGCAAAAGCATGAGGAAACAATTATTATTAGCCAAACACAGAGGTAACTTTTTTTTTTCCAAACTCAGAGTGAAACAATAATGTAGGCTACAAGAACCATAATACAAACAAGATGTAGAAGCCATCCCTTCCACCCGACACAAATCCATAGGATTTTTTTCTTTCTCTAGGAACTTCATGCTCATTTGAATGGCTGTATCAGTTCTGCCACCATGAAGAAACTTATGGCCCAGAAGCCCTACCTTCAGATCCAGAATGGGATGACTATGATTGACAAAGGAAAGAAAAGAACCTTAGATGAGTGAGTATAGATGTGTGTGTATATGATGAGCATTTACCAACTCTCTTTTAATTAAGTTCAAAACAGAGAAATGTGCGGCCTTACACACTGACTGCAGTAAATACATTTTCAAGTTTTAGTGACAGTACAATCTGTTAGATTTTTTTTTTTTTGCTACTTTTATCTATAAAATAACTTATTCAGTGTTTGCAAACTACATGGAAATCTCACATTGATTAATTCCCTTTTTAAAGGATTGAAAACTTTCACTTGAGGCATATGCTTTTCAGAGAAGATTGGCTTGTATAGTTTCCTGTTTTGGAAATGTCATGTTTTCATTTGTGTTTCAAAAAGCTTTCTGGTAGTAATAATTTCTGTTGCAAATGCATTGTTAGCATCTAAAATCAGAAATCACCGTTCAGATAATCTTTGTAGTTTATGCTGCGAGCTGGTTAATTGAGCATAGTGAGTACATGTTTTCAAAGTGTAGATTATTTTTTTAATACTCATTCAATGTTTGCCCAATTAATTTTTTAACTTTTTATTTTAGGTGTTTTCAAATGTTTCAGATCATCTATCAGATTACCACTAGGACTGAGGATATTTTACTGGTAAGTTAAATAAAAGTTCGCTTAAAATAAGCAAGCAATACACACAGTCAAAATTAGTTGGATTAACAGCACTGGGTTCTAAGTAACGATATTAGTAACCGTCCCTTCAATTGAAGGTCAGAGTTATGATTGTAAAACACAATAATTTAGAAGCACATGATTTTGTATAACTTTTACACTTAATTTTTGTGAAAGCAATGAGCTTCCCATATGGTGGTCATTAGAATCACTCAGATGCTTGGACTGATAATGTCTTAACAATATGATGTCTGTTCATTGTTACCAAAGCTTTGATTTACTGTAGTCTCCTGTTTCTTCTTTGGTTCATTACGTACCTAATCTACAGTACTAGAATGGCCCTTTGTTCTCCTCAATTACAAAACTGTTGTGTGATCAAAACAGGCAGCAGAAAGGAGTGTAGTGTGCTCTTCTTTCCTCCTGTCAAGGGGCCTTTAGGCAGCTTACCTCTTCAACTTGGAGAGGTAGAGCACCTGTGAAAGGGGTTATGAGTGCACCAGTTGAGGGGTGTTCGTGTACAGACAAGGACATTCTCATTTGTCCTAACTCTCTTTAGTATCATGTGAGGGAACTGAAGGTACCCTCTGTGGGGTCATATTCCCAGAGATGGAGAGTGCTAGAAGGGCCTGAAAATTTTGCAAGTGTTTCATTGCCAAAAGATATCTGGGTCTTTTAGCTGTAAAGAAAAATATAACCAATTATAAGCATTACTTTTATAATGTTGAATACACTGTATCTTACTCAGATAACTAAAGATGTTATTAAAGAATTTGCTGATGATGGTGTCAAGTATCTGGAATTGAGGAGCACTCCTAGAGAAGAAAAGTCCACAGGTACAGTCTGTTCTGGTTTTTAATTTGTAAGTCTGATGTGCTATAAAACTTAGGTAAGGCTACATTAATAACAAGCAAAGTCAAATTTACTTGGGTCAATAAATATGTCTTTTCAATATAAAAGCAAAAAATTAACCATGTAAAAACATGTCACTTTACTATTAGATTTTTGAGCACAAAACTGTGTTGGTTATAACTGTACTACCCAAGAATTTGGGTTAGTTGCTTTAGTGTGACATCTGAGTCTGCTAATATTTTTAGCAGCTGATATATTTTCTTTTTGTTACTTGATTTTTTATTTTCTTTTAGATGTAGTTTAATAGAAACTCATAGGGGAAGGCCTGTTGCTACTCTCTGGTTCACACTAAGTTATTTTGTTTCTTTCAGATGCTTAGGAGGAGGCTTAATTCAAATGTGTGCTTCAAAGTAAAGCTGTATTTGTAAACAGAATTAGAACTATATAGATTAGAAGACTAAAATCAAAGGTGCAGAATGAAATTTAGGAGGCTAGAGAGCTGGGTCTGCAACATAATAAAATTAATTCAAATATGTTTATTCCAAATGTGTACGTGTGTTTGTAGGTATGACCAAAAGGATGTATGTTGAAACTGTACTTGAAGGTATAAAGCAGTGTAAAGAAGAAGGCTTGGATATAGATGTAAGGTAAATAAAGCACGTGCAGTACCTCTGTTTCAAGGTTTTGCCTTGGCCATGGTTTGAGAGAGGTTTACAAACCATCAGTGTAGGAAAGAAAATTGTGCTTAAACTAGATTACATAGAATGGAAACAGGTAATTAATATGGAAACCTGAATTTTTATCTTCCTTTTTACTGATAGAGAATGAAACTGGGTCAAGCTTTTCAGCTTTAAGACTGTCAATTCTCTGCAACATTTTCAGGAAAAACAGTGTTTTTGATGGAAATCACATTAAAGACTCCTTTTGCACAGCCTAGATTCATTGCAAAGATGTTGCCTGATGAGCTGTACAAGCAACCTGCTGTAAAGGAGAGGTAGTCCTAACCAGAAGGAAGGTTTCAGAAGGTGTCAGTGGCTGCTAGGAGGCAGTCTGCTTGCCTGTTTTTATACTCTCAGTAGCAACCCTTAAGAGTTATTTGTGGAAGCTGAAGAATTCTCATTCTTCATGCCTGCACCTCAGAGGGGTTGCTCTCCTGACAGTGCAGACAGCGAATGAGCAGTGTATTGTTCCCTGCCCTCCCTCTCACTGTGGCTGTTGCACTTCACAGGCTAACCTGTTTCCATTTGTGTCCCTCTGCACTTTGGTCCCTTCATTCCCTGAACAGCTTCCTATACAGATACTCTTTATATTCAGCTGTGAAGGATGTGAAGTGCCATTTTTTGTTGGTGTCGGATTTGTTAGTCTCCTGCTATTACACTTGTATTTAACTGAATATGTACATTTTGATCCTAGATTGTTAATAGCAATAAATAGAAGAGGTGGCCCGGCAGTTGCTAAGCAGACTGTTAAACTTGCTGAAGAGTTCCTTCTTTCCACTGATGGGGTTGTAGTAGGACTTGACCTTAGTGGTGACCCCACCGTAAGTTTTTGTTGTATTTTGGTCTGTTCTTGAAGATAAATATATAATGTTTTGCAACAGGAAGTGTTTCTAATCATACTTTGCTCTTACAAGTTTCTGTCCGATGTTTGTTGCTAGTTTGAATGGATTGCTCCTGTTCTTGATACCAGGTTGATCTCTGTGGCTGTAAGGGACAGATACTCTAACAAAGAATCAATAGATTAGTATATGACACTGAAGAAAGAGCCACTGAAAATAAGTGTTTATCTGGGAAGCGTCTCTTACTAAATTGTCCCAGTCAGGTTGCCTGGATTGAGGCAAGTTAAATAATTGCAAGTTGACACTAATTTAAATTTTGTTTAGATGTACCAAATGCTTATGGTGTATTAAGAAAGCAAAAATGTTTGAGGACAGCTGTCAAGCTGAAATGAAATGGCTCTAGGTGATAGCTATAGGAAGGCTATCAAAATCAGGACAACTGGCTTGTCAGTTCATCATCTGAACCACTGAGCAATTTGTCTAAATTGTGCCCATATAGCAGAACATGATGTGACTTGCTGCATTCAAAACTGAAGTAATGGGAAAAGAAAAATAAGTCAGCATAACTGTATTTTTAATTAAGTATTTTGATGTTGCTAGACTTCATCATTTTAATAGGAAGAGATTTGTAAAACCAAGCTGTAGAATGGTCATGTGTTTCTTCAAGGCAGGACACGGTCAAGATTTTTTGGAACCGCTTTCAGAAGCAAAAAAAGCAGGTCTAAAGCTGGCATTGCATCTTTCAGAGGTAAAAGTTGTCTTTATTCTGGTCCTTCTCTGTAATTCCAACTTTATAAAAACCCTGATGAAACTAAAATTAACTTCTGTACGTTTTGAACTTCTCAAGCCAAAGTAGTAATGGTTTGGGGCATTTTGACAAGAGAGAGGAAAACCAGGAGAAATCTTTAACAATCTGTCCGGAATCAGAACAGATTGTTTTCTTCCTGGTGTTTTATCAGAAGTCATATGTAGTTAAATTTGCACATTTTCCTGAGTAGTTCTGTTCACTCTGTATCAGTAGAAAGATTGAGCTTCTCCATACAACCTGTTGAAGCGGAGGCTGAAGTATGCTCTGATGAGTCGGATAAATACTGAAAATATTTTTATTTCTTGAGGAAATTAAGCACAATATATGATGTCACAGGCCTATTTATACTTGTTTCTATTTCATTAAGGAGGCTTTTGCAGGGTATTCCTGCACGCTTCTCTGAAAATTTATTTCTCGATGTCTCGGTGGTCTTTTGTTTTTGTTTCTTTTTTTTTTTTTTGGTTGGTTGGTTGGTTGGTTGTTTTGGCCTTTTGCAATCTCAGTTCTTCACGCACCATTTTTTTAATCCCTGTGGAAAACAGGCGTTAAAGCTCTTCTTGGCAGGGTAATTTTGAAACTGAAGCATACAAAACTGATTTGAGGCCTCCAACTGAAAGTACTTCAGAACTGCAAATAGCAATTGGCTGGTTTTACATACCGGTTCAGGATTATGGCTTCTTCAGTTTGTAACTGTAAGTTGAGAGTCACTTTCGTGCCCTACTTCTTTCTTTACAGAGTATTAACGCAGATATTTAGTCTCACTAACATTTTCTTTTTGATAAGATAGGCCGTGAAAATAGAAGTTGAAGTCTGTTGTAATTATTTAATGTGCTGTTTTATCCTGCCTTGACAGAATGTAAAATAATATCTTCTCTAGATTCCAAACCAAGAAGAGGAGACCAGAATTCTCCTGGGCCTGCCTCCTGACAGAATTGGACATGGAACATTTCTCAACTCTGCAACAGCAGGTTTAGAAGAGTTAGTGCCCCTTGTTCGACAGAATCATATACCTATTGGTAAGAAAAAAGTTAAGAGATTTCAGAATATTGTGCGTACTGCTGATCTAGGAACTCTCACTTGTCTTTCACCAGAGGTGACTTAGAAAAACGTGGCAGTGTATGTGAGAGAATTGCCTGTAATTGTGTGTGTACCCTGGTTACACTTCTGTGTTTTGACATGTTTGTGGCAGCAGACAACAATCAAAGTCTCAGATGAAAACAAAACTAAATGGTAACTTCTAGTTATTGCGCAAGGCTGTGTGGTGATTTTGTATCTGGTTTGCAAGCTCCCTAAATTTTATACCCAGCCAGAAGTTAAGAAGAAATTAATTACCAAACTCCTCAGAGTATATTACTAAATATGTGAAGCATAGAAAGTCAAGGAAACAACAATAGCTGATTTTAATTTTCATTCTGGAATAGAAATAAGTCAAATAATGTGGCAAAAACATGTATTTTGCTTTGATATATATCCTTGTTTCTTCTTTTTTTGCTCCCTCAGAACTTTGCATGACGTCAAACATCAAAACACAGACGGTGCCTTCCTGTGACAAACACCATTTTGGATACTGGTACAACATAGGCCACCCTGCAGTGCTTTGTGTAAGTTTTTTGATTTTATCCATGTATTGAGGCAAAGAGCCACACTAGTGTGAAGTGGGAGATGTGCATCTTCTTTTATGGATCAGAGCTGAATTACTTGCAATTTCTGACCTTGCAGTAAATCATCTGTTTATAGGGAATCAGTGTTCTGTTTGAGAAATGCTTGTAATACAAATAGAATTTTTAGTATTTCTCTTGGTTTTACTGTAAAGCAAGACCTTATATTCTGTACAGATAAGATGATCAGCTATACATGCAATGAACCTCTTCACTGTTTGCATACTGACAGATTTCTCTTAAACATATTGGTCTGCTGCTTGAATGTAAGCTGGTGCTTACCTGGGTATTTATTGGATGAGAGTTCTGGAGTTTTCTTGACAACTAATTAAGGTCCTTAAATGTTGAGGTGCCAAATACTTTTGCTGGCATTGGGAGGATTTTACTGTCATCCTGTTGGATCAACCCCTATATTTGTAATATTGTCCAAGTGTGTGTGTATGTATTAGAGTGCTGTCCTTATTATTCAAATAAGCCTCAGTCCTTTATTCTAGAATGTATTTATTATTGAGATTGAACTCTGTTGTATTAGGTGAAAAATAAGTCATGGCTAGAGATTATTTCTGAGATTTTCAGTTGTGAAAAGTCTAGATAACCAAGGAAGTAATGTAAGAAAGCAGTTTACCCATAAAGGCCTATAAAAACAAGAGTAGTAGAAGGAGGAGACACTACAGTGTCTTAAGTTTAACAGGATATGGTTAAGCATTCTTCTCTGTGGGTACACAAGGACACCGAGTTGCAATGGGTACTCTCACTAACCTTTAAATAATCCAAACTAGCTTCTTTTAGATGAATAATCTTTAGGTGGCTTTTGATTATATGTTTTTGATGCTAGCCTGATACTACAGTCGGTGTCAAGAAATTGTTCTTGTTGATGCTAAGTCCGGAGGGTGAGACAGTTGCTTCCCTGAAGATGTAGGAATAGCTCTGCTTCCCAGGTCTGAGGAAGGGGAAAAGAGGAATAAGAAGACGTGCACATACTGACATAGCTTGCATGTATGCATCATTTGATAGCCATCCTTCTAGCAGTTTTAATAGGAAATCCTGTCTTCTTAATAAATTGTGCCATTGCTTTAAGAAGTTTTACATGTTTGAATACTATAGTGACTGAAAACAGAGCAAATAAAGTATGAAATAATTACCAGCAGATGAAAGAACCATGAAATGGAAACAGCAGGATAAAACTGTTTTGTAATGTGTATAAAATCCCCTTTTTGATGTAGAGGAACTAATATAAACGTTTGTTTTTTTTCCTTTCAATTTAACTCCAGACTGATGATAAAGGCGTCTTTGCAACGGATCTATCGCAAGAATACGAGCTGGTTGCAAAAACATTTAATCTGACTCGATCACAGATGTGGGATCTTTCCTATGAATCCATCAACTATATCTTTGCTTCAAGTGGAGTAAAATCAAAGCTAAAGGAACAGTGGTGTAAACTGAAGCCAACCCTGTTTGATTAATGAAAGCGTTGTTCTAAACAGCTTGGGTGTGAAGCTTAGTTAATAAAGATTTGTATGGAAGTCCCTGGCTTTTTTCAGCCCCTAAACTGTGCTTGTGAAAAATGCAGGTGACAGGAACGCACCCTTTGTTAGTGGGGACAGAAGTAATGTTCTTTCCTAGCTGGGAAGGGCTCTCAACCAGTGACTATAATTCCAAATGTGTCAGTCATCATGTAGTTTCTCTCCAGTTGATACATTTTTTTTTTTAATAGTTGAAATATGTAATCATACTACAAACATTTGGGAGTCAGAACAAAATAAAGCCACAGCTGTTAGGGTTTAAAATTGGCAACATTACACAGAGCAGTTTGTATGTATGGTGTGTATATTTGGTGTTTGTATTATTTTTAAACAGAAGTTTAAAGGAATTTATTGAATGTGAAGACAGAAACTAAACTCAGGGAGAATGAAATATTTGTCTGAAAGGAATTAGATATTGTTACCTGTTTTTATTGGCGTACGTGTACAGCTGAAGCCTGCTGTGCATCGTGTAGCATGCGTGGTGGTGCTTATTGATACACTCAGCTCTGGTAGTATTTAGACAACGTTAAGAATCTTGAATGCCTTAGCAAACTGTGAGCTACCTGGGGGAAATGGTCCAATTCTTAAAATGCTTTTTAGAAGTGCTGTTTGTTTCTTGTAAAAAAGCAATAAAAATAGCTTCAACCTCCATGTTTTTGAAACCACTACTTCAAGCATGCGAGTGTGGGTGTGTGCACACGTGTGCTTCTGTACCAGAGATACATGGAAGAGACGCAGGTATAACCTGCTGCAGGATTTGGTGAGTCCCCTCCCAAAAAAAGGTGGGGAAGGGGGTGGAAGATTAGCAAAGAAGTTGATATGTCTGTGTGGCTACCTGAGGTTTCCATGGAGCATTTTCCAAGCAGAAAATACTCCTTTTGGAGATGGGGGAAAATTCTGTGAAGCAGAATTGTAGTTTTATCCGAACTCAGAACAACAATTTTTTATTTATAAACAGTACTTAAAATTACTTTCCAAACAGTTTCACTGATCACATTACCCTTTCTGCATTATCAGTTGCTGTGTGATCAAGTTTGTCTGTATTTTCTTTCTAAAAAAATAATTACTATTGTAAATGTATTCTTTTTCCTTTCTTACTGAAAAGCTCTCTCAAGACAAGTTGAGCAGCTTTCTGGAATGTTACAGTTATGTATATCTCGGTCTCAGGATAAGTGAGCCTGTGCTCAAGTGAGATGGCATTCTCTTGTAAAGTAAGTTTTATAGTATTTTTATAGGTTATGCCCTTCTAGTAACACTTCCATGGCATAGTATTTGGGTCATTAGCAAAGAAAAAACATTGACTTCCTGTTTATTTACATCCTCAGTATTCGTTTTATCTGTGAAGTGTAGACCTTGCTAAAGCAACGCATAATTAGTGTCTGATGAGATTTTTAGTTTCGAACTGTTAGTGTTATCCAAAAGTAAGTTTGATTTTTAAGGTTCACATGTTGAATGTGACATGTAATGTGTTCATTCAGAGAGCACAGCCCTGGTAAATGTTGCTATTTTCAACTTCCTTTTTTTCCCCACAAGCACACAGTGTCTTAAAGACTTTTAACATCATGGACTGTTACATACAGTTTTCAATATTCCCATTTAATTGACTTCTGCATGTCTTCAAAATGCTGCCTTGCATCAGTTGTAGTACTGCCCCCCAACCAGTCTGGTACACGATGACATATGGATACTGCATAGTTTTATAATTAAAAAAAGACTTCCCTGATTATTAATGAAACAACAATGTTCTGGATCCATAGTGAAACAGTGCTGCTGTATGTAACCTAGAGTTACGGAATCACTCCTCTGAAGACTGTACTTATTCTGTCGCTTACATACTGGCAGATGTGCTGCAGAATCAAAAAGAAAGAACAAACCACCACTGCGTTTAACAGTATTTATAGTGTCTCAGCTGGTAATGGAAGTCAGGAAGTAATTTGGAGGATTCCATCTGTGTGAAGTAAAAGAACCAGGAATGTATTTGAGTGGTGAAAGAACAATACACAGAATGGGGGAGTTCTGTATATTGGTTTCTAATGGTGTGTTACTGCAGTTATTTACACTGCAGAAGTGTTACGCTTAGAGTGGAAATGAAAGTTGCTAAGGATGGGGTGAAGTTTTGGAATGAAGAATCATCATCTGATGAGAACTGCTGTGCACAGTTCCCAAGTTGTCCATTAGAAGCTGAAACTTTACCTTCTCACTACCACTGGCCTATCTTTCAGAAGTATAATTTTTGTAAGTAAAGCTGCAGAGGTTCCTTCTTTGGCTTCAGGTAGGATTATAGTTAATTTTAAGCGCTTCTTGCTGAGCCTGTTTGTTAAGTTCAGAGTTAACAGTGAGATAACCATTGTTCGCTTTATAATACTGTGTAAAATTAACTGTGACATACAGTTGGAGTGAAGCATCACCACTGAAGTAACCATCAGTAATGGGGCAGAGGACCTTCCTTCCCCCCAAATTCAGGGGAAGTTCCAACTAACTATTTCTAGAACTTCATATGGTATAAGATGAGGTTTAGGAGTCTATTCAGGTGCAGCTCAACTTATTTTTAAAGTAAACAAAATAAGTAGATCTAGACTGTGTTAATATTTTTGTTTATTTCCATATGATTATATAAGGTAACCCTTACAGAACAGTCTTAATGCTCCGAGTCTTTATTCACATCACCTGAAAATACACACTTTGGTCCTACTAAACAATATTGCCTTTAGAGACATATGCAAGCAGAAAGCAACTGCTCACTGTAGCTTAAGTTTCCCAGAGTTCCTTTTAAGACAAACGCAAAGTGTTCAAAACTTCTGTTCCTTATGATTAGACTGGTAACATCCCACAGCTTATCATCATACAACTGCAAAACTGTAAGTATTTACACACTGCTCTTCAGGATCACAGCTTTGCAAATAATGTAGTTACATAAATTATTTATATGCCTGCTCCAATATTTAGGCATTTCAAACTAATTCATTAAATAAAATAATAATGGAGATAAGGGCATTGCATCAGGTATGTGCACAAAATGACTAAAGAGACTGGAGCATCTCTTGTATGAGAGGCCTAGAGAGCTGGGGCTGTTTAGACTGGAGAAGAAAAGGCTCAGGAGGCAGATCTCATCACTGTTTTTAAATATCTGATGAGAAGGAGCAAGGCTGAAGCTAGGCTTTTCTCAGCCATACCCCCATAACAGGAAAAGGGGCACAGACCGAAACACAGGGAGTCTCACCTGAACGTAAAGAAATGCTTTTTCCTGTATGGATGGCTGAACCTGGGAACACACTGCCCAGACCAGCTGGGGAGTCTCTGTCCTTGCAGGTATTTCAAACCCTAAGTGACCTGCTGTAGCAGACCCTGCTTGGGCAAAGGAAGTGGACTGGACAATCTCCAGAGATGCCTTCCAACCTCAACTATTCTGCGATTCTGTGAAGTGAATATAAAAATATACAAATGATGAAGTTTCTATATGAATACAGAATATTTTAAAATTAAATACTGACTTAACTCAGTCAAGCAAGTGACAGTTTTTCACCAGGCTTGAACAAAAGCAGTTGACTGCTTTGTGAAATAGTTTTTAAAGAATGATTTATTCATTCTTTGTCACCTTCCTTCTTTCACATCCATTGTGGAATCCTTTGGTGCCATCAGGCCCTTTAGGCAGCCGCACCACCCCTACAGGTAGACCATCTGCATTTTGTATTTTCCGAGCTAACATGGGGCTACTGACGGGACTCTTCTCTTGTGTTACAGTTTGAGCTTTTCTTCTCTGTACCCAGGGGCTACCAGAAGGAGTGATACTGCTGTCTGAGGAGTAATCTGTACATTGCCTTGGAATTTCAGGGCTACTGCTTAGGTTAAGCTTGCTGTCCTCAGCTAGCGGAGACTTTTTGGTTACTTTTCTTAGTGAAGATGGACTGTTCCAAGGACTTGATCTGGGTGACGCATTAGGACTCAGATGGTTGGTTGGGTGAATGACGGGACTCAAATGAATTGTATTTGTTGCCATACTTCTGCGTCCTGACAGTGGTGATGTAGGATTACTCTCTGGGTCAGAAGAGCTATTTGCTGACGATTCATCACCAACAAACTGAAGTTCCTCAACTCTCTTATTAAGGGATCTAGCCTTCTTAAGACACTTGCTGGTATCTTCATCACAATTCTTGTCTTTGGGAACTTTTTTCTTTGGAGGTTTCATGCCTATTAGGACAACTTGCATCCCAATCTCCTTTTCAGCACACATGAAGTCATGAGCACGTACAGCAGCATCTACTTCTTCAAATTCTATAATTGCACATTCCTGAGTTCCCAGTTGGGTGTACCGATTGCTGACCCTCCTGATATCAGGTGGTAGCTCCCTACCAGGCTTGAGAATACGAACTGATGAAATTACACCAAAAGTTACAAAGGCTTTGAGGAGATGCTCCATTATCCTTTCTTGCATGCATCCATTTTCTTGTTGTTTGTGAAGAGCTTGCGGCTCAGAAACCACGTGGATATCATACACCAGTAACATCCTGGTAGGGAGGTTTTCACTTGGAAACACTGGAACTGGAGTTTTTCTTCTAACCTTTTTGTTATCGTCATTGAGCTCAAGAGTGTCCGAGTACTTCAGTGCATAGGCTGTGGTTCTCCAGTCACGGGTAAGGTGTTTCACCTTGAAGACAGACACAGTTTAAGCAGTATAACTGCTCAAACTACGTACAGAATGCAGGATTCAGTCTGCAAACTAAAACCTGGATTTAAAACCTCGTTTTCCTGCTACAGTGGGCATCAGTGAGCTCCTATAAAGCTCATGTCCTGTTGAAGCAACTGAAAATAAGAACTGACACTAAATCACAAACTGAAAATCATTACTTTAGCTTAAAGCCTGCTCAAGTGATGTTCAGTCATTCATTTCCTAGGTCTGAACCATGAGCAAAATGCATGTACTATGGGTTTTATTTTCTTAAATTGGCCAAACAAGTAGTTTGACCATGTTTAGGACTTGATTTTATTGAACTGATTTTTCCTCTCTCAAAAAATCTCACTTTAAGAAAACCCCAAACTTTTCAATTTCCAAGGAGTGTTTTTAAAAGTTTATCTTTTATCAGTATAATCTGTTTGAAGTGGTCTGAAGAAACTGGGAGTGCCTTAACTTCTAGACTGAGTAGCTCTACAAAACTGTCGGATTTGGAATCTTGCCAAAGTGTTTCTAATATAATTTTAGAAATCAGTTACATACACATATTTACTTAGGAGTTCCTAATGTAAAAAAAAAAAATTAAAAAAAATCCACCTCACCTTTAGGTGACTTCAGTTACCAGATACTTTCTACTACTCTTAGTTTTTGGATCTCCATACATTTGCAAAGGTCAGATTCACCATCCCTTCTCAGAGACAAGAAGGTAACTTTACCAGGATTACTTAGCTACTCCTGAATCACGACTAGCTGATCTAGAAGTGAGCTTTATCCAATGTCCCATTTACTATGCCCTATTCTCTGCTAGAATTATAATTTAAAAGCAGAGGTGCTTAAAAGCCTATGACTTCCCTAGCTAATCATGAAGGAGCTTAGCAGTTAAAGTTCTGGGTGAGAACAAACCTAACCATCACATCAGAACTGAATGAACCCCTGAGGGAGGCAGATAAAGAAGACGACTATAAAACCATCTCTATAAATTATTTTCATCTCGTTTCTCCTAATGTTTTTAGATTCATCAGACTTACACAAGGCAGTTCAAGTCTTAAAAAGTTAGCTTACCTTCTTAAAAGAAGTGAGGAGTTTAACACTGACATAGCCCATCTTATTTCTTCTCACATGCTTTAGAAGGAAGGCATCTTTCTCAAGGTTCTCATCTGAGAAGTAGTATTCAATCTGTGCTATTAACTTCTGGATCAGGTCATTTTCTGGTGGTTTCCAGTTCTGATCAGAGTCATCATCATTTTCCCCACCACTGGAAAACAGTTAAATCATTTTATTAGCAGACCTTCATCTTATATTAGTGGATTCAAATAGTCTTTCAAAATGAAAAGGCATAACCGTAATACTGATTACAACTTACTTTATACATAGGCACTGAACAGGTATCACCCTATCCATCTGAGGCAGGAGGCCAGCTCAGAGGATGAAGCTTTCCAGTCAGCATAAGGAGTCAAGTTCCTGAGCTCATTCCAAAAGCTGATGTCAGTGTAGAACAATGAAACATATACACTAGCATCTTGAAAACACTCTGCCAAGTCAAATCCTACACCAGAACACGAAATGCAATTACACAGGCACTTGGTGGTATACAGAGTTTCTCCAGTGACAGTGTTTTATTTTTCAGTATGAAGCTATTAAACATAGGCTTGACGTTTATGTGCTTCACGAGTAGTCAGCACCAGTGAATGAATATTCCAACTTGATGCAATCATGATTTCTCAAGCCTCGTCACTGCATGAATGCAGGAGCCAGTATCCAGGGAGTAAGACGGACTGACAGAACTATTGCATTTTTTTATGGGTCACTTCCAGAGTGACAGAGTAACTTAACTAGCAGTTTACCAAGAGACTTAAACTGTATGTAAGTTTCAGATGAAGGGCTTTGGTGCAGTAGCAGCTCGTGTACCTCACTACCAGCTGTATATGTGCACATATGCAGGTTGCTACGAAGTCATTCTCATTTCCCCTCTGCCCCTTCCATCATGTTGTCTAGGTATCTGTGCAAAATGGAGCACTGCTGAGCATCTTATCCCCAAAAAAGATATTGCAACCATGGATTTGAGATAAACTTCTTGCCACATACAGTTACAGCAGTATATTTGTTGCTGAAATACAAACGACCATTTAAATTGTTATCTAGTGTTGAGGCAAACAGTTCACCCACAGACTACAGCCATAGATGTTGCTACAAGAACTACCGTGCACAAGTCTATCTTAACCCAGAGTCATTCTTTTAAAGCTGTTAGCACTCTAGTTTTGCTGTGGTACTATCATGAAAGTTTCTGCTAAAAAAAACCCCCATAAATCATCCACTAATCTCCCTAGACCATATAAATCATGTATTAGTTCGGTCTGCCATGTACCTCAGCAACAAAAAAGGAGGAGCCACACATTTTCCCAAAATTGTCTTAAATGGCTTTTGCAGAGCTTGTAAAATCATTAAATAAGGGAGCAGGCACCACACTAGAGTCCTCGGAGGGCAGTCTGGCGAGGAGGATGCAGGCAACTGAATCACTTTGCCTTGTGGCAGTTTTGTCCCCGAGATGAACTGGAGGGTGTGATCTCAGTGCTGACTGGCGTGCTGCCCCTGCCTGGGCGTGGGCAGAAGCACTGCCTGGGCAGGTGCTCACTGGACATCCGATGGTGCTGTCCAGGTCCATGGGCTCCCCCCAGGTTTGACAAGCTACAGCGGTTCTCTGGAACCTGGCTTTTTGAAGCTAACACTTTATTTACTTATTATGGTTCTTCTGGTGATAGGGCAGCACATCAGATATACATGGATACTCATTCGCACGACCCTAGAAGTTTCCTTGTTAAAGTCTCCCTAGTCACTTAATGGGGTACAGTGCAAAGGAATGACAAGAGTGAGAGAGCAAGAAAAAGAATTTAAGTTATTTGACAATGCTAGAAGTGGAGGATAATAGATTAAGCTATGATTAAGATAGTAAAAAACATTTAATAGCCAGCTATGGTTGCTGGTTTCAGAAGGAAATAAAAACAAGCTTAAGCGTTTATTTTTCATTCATGATACTCCCTTACCCCACTACTACTCATTTTCATTCACTACCAATTCAGAACTAGTGTGGGCACAAGAAACTTAGAACATTTCAGCATTTTTACATAGCCACACTCAACTAAGAAAAGCTTACCTTCAATTCAGGATAGAGCTTGCAGGTTTTTTAAAGGATTTATTAATACAGACATTTGCAGGTATTTGGAAGGTTCAGATGGAAAAGAAATGGAGCATCATGCTTGGGAAAAACACAAAAATGAACCGCATATTTGCAAAGATCAGAACCATCCTTACTTACAACGTTAACACATTGAATCACAGTGAAGCAGGTCTCATCTCACCTCTCAAATATTGGTCACAGTCTGTACTATACACCATTTCTATATTTGGCAGACAGTTCAGCTCTTACAGCAGCCCTCACTAAGTACGGTACGGAAGTACTACCTACAGCAAATGCAGAACTTTGTAACTAGCTCCATATTAATTCATAGTAATGATCAAGTGGTAGTACCTCTAGCTACTCTACTACAAAGGTAACTGAAAAATCAATGTCAGTCAATTCTGATGGGGAAAAAAAAAGACTAGTATTTATTAATAACTTTAATTTACTTCTTTCTTTATTCAGAGCTTTGTGATGGACATGCTTGTCAAAACAGTTAGGATAGACTGAAAAACAACTTTTTAATATGGTGACTCATCTGGTTGTTAGTCACACAAGAAACTAAATGCATATCTACACAGAGAATAGATTTTGAGTTTTAAATATCAAAACTCACAAACATGTTGAATATTGATAGAGTCTAACCTTTTCACAGGTCGTTGCTGATTCTTGAAAAGAATAAGGTATTGTATCAATCAGCACTATGTGGCAATATAATTTACAGCACTCGGCTGATGTTCCAACAGTACAGCCACTCAAAGGCAGTGCAAGGCTGTTAACAAGAACTAGGGGAGACAATACTGGGCGCCTACTAACGGGACGCGTGGCTGTAGCAACCATTACACTTCAGTTTCTGTTGTGAAACACGGTATGTTCCTGTCGGGTGTCCCCGTTGGAGGGCTTCCCGCGTCTCCCACCCCTCCCCGCCGGCGTT